AACACCAGGGAAAAGAAATGAAGGAAACTGTTGACATTAAATTTTAACTCTTTCCATCCTGAAAAATATTTTAAATCTTACCCTTCTCGTGCTTTTAATAAAAGTATCCCAGTGAAAATTCATTGAGATCAGTTTCAACTCTTTGAAATCACACATAGCAGTGACCCAGAGGCAATCAGCTTGCTATTTCCATAATTAAACAGGTATTTAATCAATACTTTTTATTCAGTCTGAGTTAGCTCATATGAATGCAACAGCCCTGTGTCCCTCTCTGTTACCTCTAACTGGAATTCATGGGGTAACTCAAGGGCAGGCAACAAGGACCTGGACTTCAGTTCTCAGCCAACATTTTCACCTCTAATTTTGCTGCTTGAGGCAAATCAAGATCTCCACTGGCTTAAAAAAATAAATGTTGACCAAGAAATGGGTGTTTAGCTCTTTAACTGAACAGGTTCTCTGAGAGAACTTGTCTTCTTATAGACCTCTTATTTTTGTTGGCAGATTGTAAAGTGAATCACACAATTACCTTTGCAGCCTTATTCAAGTGCACTGCCAGAACTGTCCATGGAGGCTGAGCAGCAGCAGTTCACAAAGATCAAACTGAGGTGGTTCCTTCTCAGCAGCATCCATTGCATCGATGTGGAAACTGCATCTGCAGAAAAAGAAACCCAAGCTTTACTCTTCAGGGCAGCAACTGCATCAGCACCACGTGACAAACCCATCACCCCAGTTGTGAATTGTGCCTTAATTCCCCAAAGTGCAGCTGTGTCAGATGGCTGCTCACAGCCACACCCTGACATGGGACTAATAATGGGGTCCCCAAGCAGTGAAACGCTCTGGGCTGAGGCTGCCCCGTGGGCACATCTAATTATGATGTTCTGTGACAAGGCTATAAATACCCCTGGTCCCACAGGTGAAGCCCTCATTGCAGCAGGGTTTTGGGGCAGGTATGTACTCTGCTGTCTCTGCCTGCCTGGGCTGGAGAGCTGTTTGTAACCGTGAGAGCCTCACAGGCCTCTCCCCCAGGGAGTGTGAAACCAGCGAGATTTCATAAACACACACCGATCAAACATCTGCCAGGAAAGCACTGAAGGGGAAATGATTAAATCTGCTCAAATGAAAAAGCTCAAATGAAAATGCTGCTGACAAAAACCAAAGAGCACCTGAGCAAAGGAAAAGGGGAGTTACACCTTAACCAAGCAACTCTGGTGAGCTGAACAGGGTCTGAGCAGAAAAGCTTATCACTCTGTGAAGGGCTGCTATGGCAGGAAGTATTTGAGGATAAAGAAGTGCATGAAGGATCTGTTGAAAAATAGGGAAGGCAGAAAGGCCTCTAGTTTGTCTTCACAATTCTGCTTTTTAAGATCATTATATTATCGCTTTAGGCTCACAATCCCAGCCATGCCCCTGGTCACCATCAGCTGTCAGGTGAGGAGGTTCTCACTCTCTCCTTTACCAGCAATTCCAGCCTGCACCATCCACCTGGCCTGCCCATCTTTGCACCCCCAAAGCTCTGAGGAATAATTTCAGAGAGAGAGAATACATAAATAAATGAGGATGTCCTTTATGGCAATGTCTAGGAAGAAAGGGAACCTGATGGGCAGCCAATGAGCCATGAGGGCCAGACATGAATCCATGGCATGGATGCTGACTAAATACCATCCTAAAAAGAAAGAAAAATCAGCAAAAAAGCCTTTCACTAATCTATCTCCTTTACTGCTTGCTTTGTCAGAGTCTGAGGAGATGACAATCACTCACAACACAGAACTGAATAAGGAAATTATCGGCTGCCTCAGCCAACGCGCTGTGGCACACAGTTGTCAAACTCTTGCAAATTTTGTCAGAAGTCTCTGAGTGAACGCTCTTGCGATTTCTAAAGAAGCCCAGAAAAACTCCCTTTCATTAGAAAGGGAAACCTCCCTTCTTGCTCACTAGGGCATCTCTCTGAGGGACGCACCAGGCAGCGAAGGGCGTTCCCAGTCCCGCTCCCAGCGCCGGCGCCCTCAGGGCTGTGGGCAGCTCTAATGAGGCCACCGCACCCTGGGGAAGGCACGAAACCGAGACAGACCAGGAACTTTTCCACAAAAAAAAAAAAAAAAAAAAAAAAAAAAAAAAAAAAAAAAAAAAAAATTATATTAGAGTTGTTTATCAGACAGTGACCGGGTTGATGGATGCGAGCCTTTAGAGAAACTTTGGTGTGAGACAGGGCAGAGGAGGTGTGGGACTACAGGCACTGCGCTGTTGGGGCAGAGTGGAAATACAAAAAAGACCCACAAAGGTGTTGGGGAACAAAGAAATAACGGCACCGTGAGGAGGAACCCTGGGGAGGGGGTGGCCAGCAGTACCACGTACATAGGAGAGTGCAGGCATCAGCTCAGCGCTACCGAAGGCCCCAGCACCAGGGCAGTGCTCACCGCGGGCTCCTCATCCCGGCTACCTGAGAGCTCGGCCCGTTTCCGGAGGGCTCGGCCCGGCAGTGCCGTGAGGGAGCCTCTGTCCCGCCATCTCCCCTCACAACGCGCCGCCCGCTGCCGCCTATGCTATTCTCGTACCGAGTTACGCAGGTGACGTAGCGGCATTACCGGCCGCACGCAAGTTTCGCAGAGAGGGGCACTATTCCCATACTAATTTACGCAAGTAGCGCAACCGCACGGCCGAGTCGCACGCAGATTGCGTAGAAGGGACAGCGCGCCGGGATTCCCGAACAGATTTACGCCATCCGCCGGCCGGCGGGGGCGGGGCGCTACGGAGGCGGCGTAACGAGGCCCCCGCCGGCGGCGCCCCGCCTCAGCCGCGGCGGCGGGGGAGGAGGAGGAGCAGCGGAGCGCGCCCGGCGCGATGTGGCAGCGGTCGGTGTGCGTGGGCCTGCTGGCCCTGGCGTTGGGCTACCTGTGCGTGCTGGGCCCCGAGCTGCCCCCCGCGGCCCTGCGGCAGCTCTCGGCCTCGCTGCTGGGGACGCTGCGCCGCGCCCGCTCGCTGGAGGCGCGCACGGTGGCGGCCTGGCAGGCGGCCATTGTCCGCCCCGCGCGCGGCTGGGCGCGCGTCGCCGTCGGGTAGGTGCGGGAGCGCGCGGGGAGCGCCCCTGGCGGCGGGGCGGGAGCGCGCCTGGGCCGGGATGCGCGTCCCGGTGCCCACGTGTGCGGGTACGGAATGTGCGGGTACGGATGTGCTGCGGCCCCGGCGGGCAGGGGGATGGATCCCGTACCTGGGATCTGTCTGTGCCGCCCAGGTGACACCGCACCTGCAGAGCTGCTTCCAGCTCTGGGCTCCCCAACATCAGGATATGGAGTTGCTGGAGCAAATTTAGAGGAGACCATGGAAATGCTCTGAGGAGCCCCTCTGCTGGGGAGTCAGGCTGGGAAAGTTGGGGGTGCTCACCTGGACAGGAGAAGCTCCAGGGAAACCTCAGAGCCCCTGGCAGGGCCTGAAAGGGCTCCAGGAGAGCTGGGGAGGGACTGGGGACAAGGGATGGAGGGACAGCACACAGGGAATGGCTTCCCACTGCCATTGGGCAGGGATGGATGGGATATTGGGAAGGAATTCTTCCCTGTGAGGTGGTGAGGCCCTGGCACAGGGTGCCCAGAGCAGCTGTGGCTGCCCCTGCATCCCTGGCAGTGCCCAAGGTGAAGGGGGCTTGGAGCAGCCTGGGATAGTGGAAGGTGTCCCTGCCCATGGCAGGGGATGGAGCCAGATGACCTTGAAGGTCCCTTCCCACCCAAACCATTCTGTGATTCCATGAAAAAGAACTGGATGTGAGTGCAGCACCTCTGGCAGTGCTGCTCAGTCGGAGTTGGATGTTGGCTGAGGGGATCAATGATGCTGAACACTCCTGTAGTGGGGATTTAAGCTGGGCTCTGGCCCTCTTGGAGCCCTATTCCTAGCTTGATTGTCTCTAAAACAACTTTGTGTACAGTCTGAGGTTCAGGTCAGTTGGAGCTGCTGGTCCAGCCAGCACAGGCTGGCAATAAATAGGTACCAGAGACAAGTTATAAAGTGGAGAAAGGCTTTACTCCTTTCTTTGGAGAGAGGTAACTGAGTCCAGACACAGCTGGAGAGAGATAAGGAGGGAAGGGACAGGGAAGGCAATGGATGTTGAGCTCAGGGAAATTCAACACCCTTTCTCTTTTTAAAGTAGGAAGAGAACAAGGGGAAAGTTCAGGAATGTCACATTGATCTTATATTTAGCGCTTGACTCACTTTCTTTTAAATATATGGACATGGCAGGTAACTTGACTGTGACTGGAAGAATCATTCTTTGGATGCTGGAAGGAGTTATCCATGTCCATGGCTGTGTGGCTCTGTGTTAGCAGAGGAATATGACTTAGTGTTATCCCCTTGGATCTGTAGTGATTCATTAAAACATAAATTTGGGGCTAAAATGCTGCTTGAATTTAGGGTTTCTTTTCTCTGCGATGCTTGGGAATTTCTGTGTCCTTGGTGTAGCAGGTGATGCACATCCAGAGGATTTCTGGGTTGGTTACCTTGTGGAATGGAAAGCCTCAGGGTTTTTCATGTCCTTTATTTTGTGTGATGCAGCCCTAATGTGACTCCTGGGAGGTCACTGCCAGGGAATGCTGAGTGCTGAGCACTCCTCACTGCCAGGGAGCAGGAACTGGCCCTTGGAGTGTCCTGGGGGGACATGTGGAGAAACTTGGGCATCCTGCACTAGTTTGATTGATGTTTTGGCTCCCTGTCAGGGAAATGTGGGCCACAGGAACAGAAATGGCACTTCACAGCAGCTACAGAAGGTGTTTCAATTGCATCTCTGTGCAGTTGCTGGGGTTATCTCAGGAAGTATTTCCTATTTGTTGTTATTGCTCTGAAACCACAGAGTGAGACAAGGGCAAGTGTTTCTAAATTGTCTTCTGGGGTTCTGGTTCCTGCCACTAAGTCTCCTTCCTGTCCTGTAGTCTGAATTAGACTGTGATTGAATCAATGAGACATGGGGACTGGAAGTTAGACTTTCCAAAAAAAACTGCATCTACTGAAACAGTTCTTATCCCTCCCTTACAATTGCAGGATTTTTCCCCTGTTTCCACAGCATGCTGTTTCTGTAAGGTTGGGATGATCCTTTGGAAACTCATTTTCAAATATTTCAACTGACAAATTGCTCTCTTGACTTTCTCTAAACAGAGCCAGCCTGTGTGGGGAGTTGTGTGTGGGTTGGCTGTTATTAGCAGTAGTTGAAACTCCAGAGGCAGATCTAGCTGACTTAAACGCTTTCAGTTTTGTTTCTAACATGCAGTTGTGAATCACATGCACATTTTAAACCCAAAATACATGGGTATTAGAAGCTTTTAAGAATTTAAAATGCCACTGTTACTATTCCTGTTGTTTTTAAGCAAGCCCAAGGCAGGAAATGAAGTAGAACCTGTGTTGTAACATACTCAACCACCTTTGGAGCACACAGCTTTCCTTGTTTTCATGGAGCAGAAAGTTAGAAATCCCTCCCTGAGCACAGTAAAAGCCAGTCAGGCAGGAAAAGCTTTAGGAGAGAATTTCAGGAAATTGCTGTGCCTTTTTTCCCTTTGGCTGGTTCTTCTCCCCCTGCAGAGTCAGGGATGTGACCTCCCTGCCCTGCCAGGTGCCCTGAGGTCTGGCTGCTTTTCCCAGGACGCCTGTTCTTTCTTTCTCTCTCCCAGCGTCAACGCCTGCGTGGACGTGGTTCTGTCTGGGGTGAAGCTGCTGGAGGCTCTGGGGCTGGAGCCCAGTGATGGGAAGGACCATGCAGTGCTGAACTCTGGGCAGGACCTGAAGGAGGCTTTTGCCCATTTCATGGAGAGAGGGGCGGCTGCCGAGCGCTTCTTCAGCGACGCCGAGGCCTTCCAGGACATTGCGCGCGCAGCCTCGGAGCACCCCGCAGCTCAGGTGGGTCTGCAGCCAGGGAATCCTGGGGATCCTTGGGAATCCTCTTCCTGACTGCCTTGGCACTGCTGGCCTTCATTCTCCCTCTGGAGAGCAAATCATTGAGGAAGAAGCTTGTGGTGTAGCTGGAGTTGTGTTCATGGTTTTTCCTGGGATTCTGTCCCCGCTGTAAATGAGGGGGGGGTTCAATGGTTTCTCCCCTGCTGACATTCCCAAACTGAAATGTCAGAGATGTCTCTTGGGAGCCACATGGGGCTGAGAATGTAAAAGAGGCTGGGAGTGTGAGGAGTTGCCTGATTTTTAGCTGTATGGCCTGTTTTCTGTGAGAGAAGCCAGGAGTGGTTTGGGTTGGAAGGGAACTCAAAGCCCATCCAGTGCCACACATGGGCAGGGACACCTTCCACTAGAGCCCAGGGTGCTCCAAGCCCTGTCCAACCTCACCTTGGGATCCAGGGGCAGCCACAGCTGCTCTGGGCACCCTGTGCCAGGGCCTACCCACCCTCACAGGAAAGAATTCCTTCCCAATATCCCATCCATCCCTGCCCTCTGGCAGTGGGAGCCACTCCCTGTGTCCTGTCCCTCCATCCCGTGTCCCCAGTCCCTCTCCAGCTCTCCTGGAGCCCTTTCAGGCCCTGGCAGGGGCTCTGAGCTCTCCCTGGAGCCTTCTCTTGTCCAGGTGAGCACCCCCAGCTCTCCCAGCCTGGCTCCAGAGCAGCCCTTGGATCTTCTCCATGGCTTCCTCTGAGCACCTGTGACCCTCAGGACAACCCATATTCACTGCTTTTCAAGCTCAAATCAGAGTTTAACTGGAAAGTTTGACCTTTACTACTGAAGAAACTTCCACAGTTCCTTTCACATGGGCACAGGCACCAGGTTTAAACTGAGCCTCAAACTGGAGGAGGAATTGCTGCAGATTTAAATGATTCCTTGTCAGCCTTGCTAAAAACCCACAGGGCTTTAGCCACAGAGAGGTTGCACAGGAGCAAGGGCTGTTTATGTGCTGAATGAGTCGGTTTTTACAGTGCTGTCAGTGTTGGGGATTAATTGATTTCTACATGGCTATTACCTGAAGGTGAATATTTAGATTAAAAATAAAGAATGCTCAGCTTGTGGAGAGAATTGTAAGATCATTTTGCCTTCAGCCCCAACAACCTTTAGTACTTGGGTACTGCTGAACCTTGTTCTAAAAAGCCAAAATCTCCAGCCTGTGCTGAGGCCTAAATGTGTTTAAAGGTCCCAAAGCAAGGGGATGCCCACACCCAGCTCTGTTTGTTTTACAGCTTTACGTGGGAGGAAATGCTGCTCTCATCGGGCAGAAGCTTGCAACAAACCCAGACCTGAAGGTACACACATGTTCCAGACATCTCATGCCATTTGCTTGAGTTCTTTAATTTGCTTGTCTCATGTTACTTCTATGTAGATTTTGGGGATTTTGCAGTTATTTCTTAGGTTCTGCTGGTGGAATATATGGTTGGACTTCCAAGCTGATTTTTAAAAATTGAATTATTAACTTTTTAAAATCAGTTGTGTAGGTGATGCTTAAATTTTGGCAAGGGACATGGCAAGGGAAACTCTGTTTTTCCTTGTTTTCTAGATCCTCCTTTGTGGCCCAGTTGGTCCCAAACTCCATGAACTACTTGATGACAATGTGGTTGTACCACCTGAATCCATGCAGGAAAGAGATGAATTCCATCTTATCTTGGAATATCAAGCAGGTACAACGGAGCAGGTGTTCAGTGGTACCCCTGAACATCACTAAGATTGGTGCACAGCCTGAGGGGTGTCATTCTGAACCTTCATAAACACTACAATGCTCCCTGAAAACAGAGATTTAACCACGTTAAATCTGATGAAACTCAGGGTAATGAATTGCTGGTAACTGCTGATGAAATTCAGGGTAACCTTCACGTAATGAAGGTTAAAACAGCTCTAAAAGCTAAAATGGCTTTTCTTGCTGCTGATGGAACCCATTGAATTTGTGATTTTGCCCAGGAACAAAGCAGTTCACACACACTTGGTGCTGTTTGCCCACCCCAGGTGAGCAGTGGGGCCGGGTGAGGGCACCCGCTGCCAACCGCTTCATCTTCTCGCACGATCTGTCCAACGGCGCCCTGAACATGCTGGAGGTGTTTGTGTCCAGCCTGGATGAGTTCCAGCCTGACCTGGTGGTGCTTTCAGGACTTCACATGATGGAAGGGCAGAGCAAGGAGATGAGACAGAGGCGACTCATGGAGGTGAGATACTGAATCCCTGGATTTCCGTCAGTTCCCCTGCGGGTGTTTTTTGTTTCCCCAGGTTTGAAGGTGTAGGAAGGCTGTGCCTTCAGAGCTCCCACAGATCCCAGTACTGACTGCCAAAAGGAGAGTGGGAGCTGCAGGAATGGCTGAAGTCTAACCATGTAACACTGTCTCTTCTTGGATTCTGTGGCTCGTCTAGGGAAAAGAAAGGCTGGTTACCTGGCTGGAGGGTGTTGATGTGGTTACTGGGCTTATCTAGCAGCTAAACCAGGCTTTTTCTGTGCTGGACACAGATGGTCCAGGTTATAATCAACACCTGCATTCCTTAAAGAGCACCTGTGTTGTGCCACCTGTTTTACAGCTGAGGGCTTGTCCTGATGCAAGGCTTTGGCATTTTTCACGTTCTGGGATCAGCTCCTCTGCAGCTGCTTCAGATTTGTGAGGTTCTTGGAATTAATCCATTAGAAAGATTCTGAGCTGGAGCATATTAAGGCTAGATATGCTCCAGCATATCTAGACTTATCTAGAAAACTATCTAGACATTAAGGCTAGATAGTTTTCCTGCCCTGGGATTCTGCAAACTAGAAGTTGTTTTATTTCCTCTCCTTAGCAGTACATACACAGGTCAGACATCCCATTGAATTGTTTATATCCACACACAGGGAGATTAAAGGATGTGTATCTTGAGTCACAACCCTTTTTCTTCTTCTTAATAAATATGTCTTCTAAGGTTGTTTTTTCCTTTTTCCTGTAGGCTGTGGCCTCCATCTCTGATATCCCAACTGACATTCCCATACACCTGGAGCTGGCCAGTATGACTGATCAGGATTTTATGAGCAACATTGTGCATCAGGTAAGGAAAATGAAAGGATGTGCTCTTTTCACTTCAGTATCACAGTGCATGAATATAGAAATCAAAACTCAACATTTGGACTATACATTGGAAGATGAACCGAGGAATGAATTTGAGCTGAGTTTATAATTTGAAATTCTGCAAAGAAATTGACTTTCTTTCCTGGTGGTTCCTTGTTTGGCTTGACACAGCTCTGATCTCAGTGTTATGTTTTATGTGGAGCTGATGTGTTGTTATTCTTTACTCTCTGGAAAATTAATTGCACCAAATGGAATGTTTTCTTGGCTAAGTAATTCTTGCCAACTCGTGGAAGTGCAGTGACTGGGAAGCTGGGTGCTGCTTCTGCTGAGCCAGCAACAGGGCACTGCAAGGAGTCCCAGGTGTGACTCTGTTCCTGAAGGCAAACGTGCTGGCCCTGTTTCTGTTAGCAGGTCTTTCCCCTGGTCAACTCCATCGGGCTGAACGAGCAGGAGCTGCTGTTCCTCACCCAGTCTGCCTCTGGTCCCCACGCCTCGCTGGCCTCCTGGAGCGGCATTCCCGACGTGGGGGTGGTCAGTGACATCCTCTTCTGGATCCTGAAGGAGCACGGCAAGACGGCGGAACGGGCCTCGGACCTGACCCGCATCCACTTCCACACGCTGGCCTACCACATCCTGGTCACCGTGGACGGCCACTGGGGCAACCAGGCAGCAGCAGTGGCAGCTGGGGCCAGGGCTGCGGGCACCCAGGCCTGTGCCACCGACACCATCGACACCACCAAGGTCTTCCTCAAAGCTCCCCTAGAGTTCGTCACCTCCCACACGGAGGCACCATCCAAAATCTCCCTCAATCCAGACGAGCCCGTGGTGCAGTGGCACAGGGAAGGCATCTCCTTCCACTTCACCCCTGTGCTGGTGTGCAAGGATCCCGTGCGGACCGTGGGGCTGGGGGACGCCATCTCAGCCGAGGGACTGCTCTACTCTGAAGCGTATCCTCAGTAGCAAACCAGGAGCCTCCTTCTTCTCCAGCACTGCACGGTGTCTGAGAGCCGTGGATTGGCATTTGAAGCAGTGGTGGTATAGGAACAGAAGCAGGGTGTGGTGTGTTTTCTGGGTATAACTGTCAAAGAGCCAAAGAATAATTCCAGGTATAAACTGTCAGCTACATTCCAGTCACTCAGCAGTGACTCGAGCGCTTCACGTGCAGGTCAGGTGCAAAGGTTTTAATATTTAATGTGAAAACTGGCTTTGTCTTAAGGAGGAGGGACACAAAGACCAAAATCCCTGGCTGGCAAAGTTTGCTGCTCGTAGCTCAGTGTGGATCTTTTCTGGTAGTGCTGCAAAGTGCAGCAGCAGGAGAATTTCCTGCCCCTGGATCCCAGGGGGAGCACAGCAGTGCCCAGCCCTGCCTCTCTGGTAAATTCAAAATAAAAGGCTTGTGGGTTATCTCCTCCCAGCACTTTGCAAACCTTCCTTGGGGTGAGGATGGAGTTACTGCCTGGTGCAATCACCTCTCTGTGTGCCCAGCCCCAGAGGGAGCCACGGTCCCAAATGACACAGACTGAACCTACTCCAGGCTGCACAGGTGATCCTGGACATCTGTGACTAAGGGTGTTCCACATGAGCAGCCTGTGCTTAGTTTTTAGGAAACAAGGAGCGAAGATAATCAGGTTTTCTGTTTGGGGGACAGCTCTGTTTCCCTGCCAGGGAACCCCAAACCATTCCCTGTGTTTGCTGTACTCTGCTAATGGTGTGTTACAGAAAAGCTCTTGAGTGCTGGAGACTCATTTTTGGGTGTTTGAGAATGGTTGTGCCAAATTCTTCAGTCTCCCTGCCCTCTATTAGGAAAGGTTAATGTATCAGGGAGGGTCCCTCTGGAAGCTCAAAAGCTGCAACAGCATTTTCCAGGTAAGACTGAAGTGAGGTGGCCTTTTTAGGGTTTGATGTTGGGATTTTTTTGACTAGGTCACTGATAGTTTCTTTGCTCTGGCCTGTGAAATTAAAAAAGCAGAATCATGTGTCCTTGTTAAATACTTTGCTTCTATTTTTTTACCTTTTCACAGTCACACACTAAGAATTGCAGAGCACCAGCATGGTTTTGTCTCTGGCCACTTGAGGAACCTGGAGTGTGTTTGCACAGCTCTCAAGCCAGTTCTCAGTAGAACTGGGTTAAGTGCAATCAGCCTGTCTGGGCAAGCCTGTGCCTTAGCAGAGCTTGCAGAGGTTGTTCCAGGTCAGTCTTTGCACCTGAATGGAGGGAGGAGAGTCTGTGTCACTCAGGGTGGAGTGATCTGTTGCAATAACACTGTCAGGCTGCTGTCAGTGGTGTTCTCTGTTGGGAAAAGCCATCCTGGCTGCTCTGCAAGGATGCAAATTGGCAGCTGCTGTACTTGCACTGACTCAGCACACAATGCTGTCTGTCATGTGCATTCAGCTTTCCCCCTGAGCAGTGTTCTCAAGTACAGTCAGTGCTGTGTTTTCCTGCAGCTCAGCCCACCTTGAGCTTCCCTTCAGTGTCAGCATTTTATCCAGGTGCAGGATCTTCCTAAGACTTGAGGCATTTCTGCCCAGATGATTTTTTTATGAAGATGATTATTACTACTATTATTATTATTATAATTTATAAACTGTAGCACAGGAGTTCTGCTTTAGTCTTCCAAAACTGAAAATAAATGCAAAGATCCTCTCTTTTTGGCTCACTTGGAGGTCTAAGGCCATTAGCAAGGCAGTTTTGCTAATGGTGGGATGGTGGGCCTTTTGGCACTCCACTCACTCCTAGGGCCACCAAAGGCCATGGATGTGCCAGCTGGAAACTGATCCTTGGCTTGTACTGTGCATTCTGGACCTGGAAACAAAACTAAACTAAATACACACAAGCTGTCACCAGCAATGGCCCTGCTGCTGGATTTCACTTCTTTCTTGCTAAAACACTTCCAGGGATGTGAGGCTGATGGGACTGACATTCCTTAGGGCCACCTAAAAACGTGTGACTGCTCATACAGACCTTGTGCCAGGGTCAGCTGTGCTTGCACTGATCAGGAACATGAGAGGCTAAAATTAGCTTTTATAATCTGAGTCAGTAACTGCTGCAAAGAATCATTAAAAAGGAGCTTACTCCTTAGGAATCATCTGGGCCAAAAAGCTCAATTAATATCGTTATTGTTAGCTCCTTCTTCCTGCTGCTCCTCACAGGTAAACATTTCTGCTGCAGCCCATTCTGGGAGTGCTGGGAACACCTGGCATGGGGAGTCTCAGCAGCTGGGGATGGCCAGGCTGCTGCTCTACCCAAATCTGTTTTATCAGGCACATGGAGCTCATCTGCACCCAAAGTCACTTCCCAAAGAGAATCCTTAACCACCATGACCTGTTCATCAGCTGTGCCAGTGGGATCCCTGATTAAGTTGTGGAACAATCTATATGGTAATAAATCTGAATTGAATGGAGGGGCCCAGCAGCCTTTGCTTTGTTTCACATGCTGTGAACATGATGTGCTTAACTTCCTTCTGCCTTCCCAAATTAATGACAGAGCTGCTGAAATGCTTCCCCTGGACTTGCAGTCTCACACCTCTGCACAGCTACAGTAGTGACAACAAAGAAAAGCTGCTTCAACAGCTGCAGAAATACCAAAGCTTCAAAACCAGGCTTGAGCTGACCTTGTTCCCCCTCATCCTCTGTCTCTACAAATTCTGTTTGTTCTCCTGTGTTACTTGTACCTTGAAATCCTCAGTGATGGATGGCTCAAACCTCAGCCAGCCTCACTCCTGGAGCAGGGTTTGCAATGGAAATATTTATTCACACAGATTCTGCTGGAGATGCAGCAGCAGAGCTCAGCACTGTGACAGCTCTCCATGGTATTTTCACTTGTGTGTTCCTGCAGCCACCTTGGCTTGGGTTTATTTGCCTTATCCATGATCCAAAATTAGCATTCTTCCATGTTTTCTGTGTATGGCACTTGCTGAGGGTCAAGTGCTGGATTATTTGGAGGTGTGAATCCCAGGGGCCTGGCAGATCTCAAAGGACACGTTCCTTCTCCCTGTGCCCTTGGGGCTGTGCCATGGAAGAGCCAATCCCAAACCCAACTCTGGCCACTTTAAAGGCTCTTTACCTCTGTTCCTCTCCAGGGGAGTTTCTCAGCATTACTCAGAATTACTTGATTTTCTTTTGTTTCCTGGGTATCTCCTGTTGGGATGTGTGAGATCCAGTCAAGTCTGACCTCCCTTCCCAAGTTCATTTACAGAACTGGTGCTGAAATGTTCTTCCTCAGCCTTTAGCAAAGACCTCATTAACTGCTTTGTGCTGGATGTTTTAGAGCTCAGCTCAACTCATTAGCCACTGGAATCCAAAGCCTGGGATGCAGCAGAGCACTAAATCCATCCCAAAACCCAGTGGAAAACCATCAGCAGTTGTGCTTGGGTTCTTTTTTCACTATTTATTCTGTAATGATACACTGAATTATCAGGGGTTTTGTGCCACAGGGTGACTTTTCCAACCATGTCCTGAGCAAAGAGTTAAATAATGGGGCAGTTCTGTGAAATGGTACAACAGAACTCAATTTCCAGTTATCCTAAACTGTTGGTTGGGAGTTCTTTTGGAGCTTGCAGCTTAGGTGAAAGCTGAGGGTTGTGAGTGAGTGAACAGCTCAAGTGTCTCTGTGCCATTATTGTCTCTGTGCCATCTGTCCAGAGCAGCCCTGGCACAGATTTGTGTCACACAATTGCTGCCTTGCTATTCCTGGGCTAAGGAAATCAGTGTGTTGGGCAGAACAGGAGAAAAGCAGAGGAAAATACTGGGTCTGAGTAACCTTGGCAATAAAACTTGGATTTCAGAGGCAGGAATGCTGGTTTTACCTCTTGGAGATGTTGGATGAAGTTCTCCTCTTTCACTCTGGTATCTCAGCTGGATCCAGGCAGGGTTCTCAGGGAGTCACTGATCCAGGCTCTGGTGGGAGGATGTTCCCTCAGGAAAGGAGAGGTGCAGGTTGCAAGCAGCACATGGCCATTCCCTGCTGTGCCAGGAGCTCTGTTCCAACAGCCTGGCATCAGCCTGTGCTCAGCAGAGCTCCCAGCAGCCGAGGAACACAAATGATGGCAGCAATTATCCCATTTAAATGCAAGGGGAGGCAATGGAAAACAAAACCTGGAAACCTCCCCTGTGAATTTCTCAGGAAAGCTTCCCCTTGGTCCAGACTGGGTAAAACTGGGCTCAAATCCCACCTGTGTCTTCCATTAAAAACACAGATTTTTTGGAGCAGTGTGGTTTGAGGGAGTGGTAAAGCTTTCCTTGTAGCAGAACTGGGTTTTCTCTTCTAGAAAAGTCTTGGCAGATGGAGTACTTGTTACAACATGGGCTCTTTTTGAATGCATTTCTGTGTGGAGCTTATTATTTTAGCAAAGCTTTCCCTCATTCAGCACCGAGTCTGTCTCTGCAGAAGAGGCTTTGCCAACTGAAACCCACTCCCCAGCTGGGAAATCTAAATTCTCAACAGCTTTAAGGCCCCCACATCCACCTTGCTCAGTCACAACTAAGCACAGGAGCACAGCATGTAGCCACTAATACTGCCTGTAGCATAAATCAGCATCCAGTTGCCTCAGGGACCTCAACACCACATTTTTTTGGGTTGAACACATGTTGCTGGATAGACAGATCATTACTTTTGGCTGGAAAAAGGTCTTGCCACTCAGGCATTGATGTTTGAATGACTTTTGTTTCCTGTGCAGAAGCCAAGATGCAAAATACCTTGTGAGCTCTGCTTTACCCTGTTCATCACAGACCTTTCCCTAAAAAGGGGAAGAAAAGTCCTAAAGCAGATGGTTTCTGCTTCCCTCGAAATTAAGCTCATGATTCTTTCCAGTTAAGGGGGAGAAAATAGGGGATTAGAATTATGGCTGATGCCAGAAACAGGTTTTGGAACATAAGGTGTGATTTCCAAAATCCCTAAATGCCTCAGTGCAGTCCTGCTGAAGAGTCCCTTGCCCAATTCCAGCTGAAAGGGCAGTCCAGCCTCATTACCATTAGCACAAAAATGCTCTCCAGAATGATCCCAGAAATTCACTGCATGCAAATGCCACCATCACCATGCCCAGGGGAGGAGAGGGGACAGGACAGCAACTGCAGCTCTATTTATTATCCAACTGGAATTACATATTTAAAAATGCTCCCCTAGACATGAAGTTCCCAGGAAAAAAGAAGGTGTTACTGCTTCATTTCATAGAAGAATTGGTTCACTGTTCCATAAGCTTTTCACAAAATATATATTTAAAATAAATCCCTTCACAGTACCTCCAAGTGCAGTATGTGCTCCCTGTGTGACACTTATCCCATCAAAGCATCATAGGACAAAAATCTGCCTTGAATTCAAGTTTTGGGGCTGAAATGAAGAATTCGGAGCCCCTGCCCACCCCTGTTCTTCAATCCTCACCTCTTCTTCCCAGGCACTCTGTTAGGCTGCAGGGACTTTCAGTGTAAGAAGTTAAATGTGAATAAAAATCTCTGCACTGTACCTGCCTGACACTGTGTCTTGTCTGGTTTGTTTCAAATTGCCAATGCTCTGCAAAAAAATTCTGTTTAACTCCTGGCAGGAGGGAATCCTTACAGAAGTGCTGCCCTGGGGCTGAACTGACACAAAACCCAGCAGAAAGGGCACCTGAGAGGAACAAAAAGCCACATTTAAGATAAGCAGTCAGTTTGGGCTATCAGAACCCAGGGGAAAGTGAGGGGTTCTACTCTTTCAGTGTTCTCCAGGGAACAGGGGAGCACTCCAGCTCCTGGCTGGGCTCTGAAGATGCATCAATGCCTTTTGGATAAGAGCAACAAACCACCAAGCCCAGCTGAAGGCTGGGATGTACCCAGAGCCCTGCTCATGCTGCCTGGACACTGCTGCCTCCAGGATGTTCCCATGAGTAACCTTCCTCTCCTGGGCTGACAATTAGGGAGGGACACAGTCCAAGAGTGCAGAACTAACAGCAGGAAATAAAGTGTCAAACAGCTGGGGAGCTTCACCAGCAAACACAGAGCCCTGAAGCTTCAGTTTACTGGTTCTTTATGCAAAGCTGCTCACCAGCTCAGCCACTGGGAGGGTTTGATTCTCCTCACCACCCAGGATCCTAAATCACTACTGCTGGCTTTGCTAAGGGTCCTTCTGGAGGACTCACACCCAGCCTGGGGAGAGCTGGGTGGTGAGTGGTGACTGCACTAAGAGTAGCTACACACACCTCTGGTCACTGCAGTGACTCCTTGGAACAAGGCAGAGCCACAAGCTGAAATCACTGACAGGAAACAGCTCCATCCAGACTGACAGGCAGTGGGGAGAAGCCACCATGGGGCAGGGTGGGGCAGGGCCCTTTCCCCAGTCCCAGGCAGCCCTGGAGAGGCTCCTGCACTGCCTGTGCTGCCCAGAGCTGCCCTACTCTGCTGCCTCCTGGCTCTGGTGCTTCTCCTTGCCCTGCTCCTCGTCCCCTGTGGGAGCTGGGTTCTCCTCAGGGCTCGTTTCTGAGTGCTGCTCCTGTTCTGGCTCCAGAGGCAGGGAGGGAGGCTTCTTTGGCAGAGCTGGTGTTGCAGCACCTGGGGAGAAAACACAGTTAAAGTTACTCTGTGCCTATGTCTGCTCTTTATGTCCTTCTCAGCAGCAGAGGTGCAAAACAATCACAGCTTTTATTTACCCTCAGATTCCTTCTGCCTACCAGTGGTTTATTGACACTGAGTTATCCAGACTTGACAGTGCCTGAAATCCTGCTGAAAGGAAGCTCAGGTACAGTCAGAATTCAGTACAAATGTAGGAATTAACTCATGCCCTGGAAGGAAAAACATTTTCTAGAATAATGAATCTCAGAATGGTTTGGGTTGAGAAGGACCTTCAAGATCATCTCATTCCACCTCCTGCCATGGGCAGGGACAGCTCCAACTATCCCAGATTGCTCCCAGCCCTGTCCAGCCTGGCCTTGGGCACTGCCAGGGATCCAGGGGCAGCTCCAGCTGCTGTGGGCACCCTGTGCCAGGGCCTCACCCCCTCACAGGGAAGTGCCACTTCCATTTCCACTGAAGCTGGTTTATGCTCAAGCTGCAAAGTGTTGTTTTCACTTCACAGCTTTAGCAAATATGGGGAGACTTTCCAGGCAGCTAAAGCAGCTACTTACAGAATTAAATCACAACAGGACACAAATTGTTTCTACATTTACATTTAGGGTGCCAACTGATGTTATGAACCAGCTCCCTTCTCTGATCTGGATGATGAAGTCCTTCAGGTACACCCTAAACCCTTGGTGTGTTTTATTTTTCAGATTTTCTGGCTAAGTCTTCCCTGCATGGAAAGTTTATTCCATGTGTGAGAAATGGGACAGGTCCTTGGGGATGCCAAAGAAAGAGGCCTGGATTACACAACCACTCTCCTGGTTCAGCCCACAGGCAACAAGACTGAGAGTGACAGAAAATCAGCACAATGAGCAACATCCCCAGTGCATTCCTCCTTGGAAGCTGAGGGGTGAGAGGAGGTGAGCCTTGGAATGGCTCAGGAGATGCTCCCACCCAGTTCCAGCACAGGCAGTGATGGGCTGAGCTTCCAAAGGCTCACAGCACCTCCTGAGAACCCTCAGTCCCACTAAATTCAGCAACACCTGCAAGGATGGGCAGCTCTGGAGCAATCCAGCTGCAAGTATCATTGTCAGAGAAAGGATGAAAGTACTTTGGAAAATTGTAAAAATCCATCTTCTCCCTTCTCTGCAGTAGTCTGTGCATAGCAGCTCCTGGGCTCTTGCAAAGAAAGGCAAGAGGTCTGGCTGCTGAAACTGCTTCCTTCCCAGAGCAAGATCACAACCTCATGCTAATGGAATCTTGCCCATTGTGGCTCAGACAGGAAGGGAAACTTTCCCAGCCTCCCACATCCCTGCAAAAGCAGGAGAGTGAAATACACTACACAGAGCATCTTCCTGAACTCAGAAATCTGGGAAAGTTATCACCAAATATTGCCCTCACTGCTGTGTGAGCACTCAATCCCCTCCCACACAGGTGCTGTAACTCTTCCAAAGGGAAGAGAGATTTATTTTCTTCTCTCCCACATCTAAACTTGAAAGAACAGCAGAGCAGACATACCTGGGGGGAGCTGCATGGTTTTCCCATACCCTGCAGCAGAGGACATGGCTTGACCCAGGGCCTGGTTGGAGCCCAAAGGCTGCTGAGAGCTGGACTTGCCTGACCCAGCAGCTTTCTGCTTGGATTTGGACTCTTTAGAAGGCTTGGTCCACACCAGGCTCTCCCCAACCTGCAGGGCAGCTCCCATCTTCTGGGCCATCTCCACCATCTTCTCAAGAAACAGAAAGAGAAGAGCACTGTAAGCAGGGACACTTCAGAGAACAATAAGCTCAACAACTCCATCAAAAAAAAAACCTACAAGAAAAGATCTGTGGAGAGCTGGCTACAGTTTGGTGCTTGGGGGAAACATCTCCACTAATTCAGCGCCTTAATTAAGAGGGAATCTTGTCTTGCTGTGTATTGATTGAAGAACTGGGCTTCAAAGAGCAGAAAGGAAGCGAGCAGCTCTCAGCAGGCGCTCGCTCTGCCTGGGAAATCTCACAAGCACAATTTCCTCCTAATAACTGGACTCAAAGTCAAACCTCCTCCTCCTCATCTGCTGCCAGCCCTGGGGTGGCTCCTGAGCCCAGGCACAAACCTCAGGGTCGAAGTCAGGTGTGCTGCTCTCCCTGGCCACGGTGACCTTCCTCTCCATCTCCTGGAACTGGCTCAGGGCCCCCTCCTTGTCGCCCTGGTTGTAGAGCAGGACAGCGTAGTTCAGGTTGATGAGGGGGTTGCACCTGCAGCAGACACATGGGATGCATCACATTTCCTGAGGGAATATTTATCCTGGCTGCAGTAATGCTGAGGTGTGCCTGAGCAAAGCTGGACACACCTGTCTGGCAAAGTGCTTTGGGAGCATGGCTGAACCCTCCTGCCCAATGACAGACCCAGTGCTGGGCTCTGCAAAGGCCCCAGGTGTCAGTGCCAACAGAAACCCCCCATCACTGCCTCCCCCTCTGCAACAGCCAGCTCTGGGGGCAATCCTGGCACTCTCTGTCTCCCAGCCCCACCAGTGATGGGGCTTTTTCATACTGAGACAGATGATGTTTCCCTGATTTACCTCAGACTCTCCCAGTCTGCAGGAGAGCAGCTCATCGTGGGGCAGGCAGCACAACAGAGCCCTGCTCCTGGGTTTTATACCCTGACAGAGCACAGAATGTGCTGGTTACATTGCATTTCCTCACCCCATCTCTCTCCTACCCCAGCAAAACCACACACAGCTGCAGGTACTGCTACAGGTGAACACAGGTACCTGCACACTCCTGCCCCCTTCCTGAATGAAGATTTCACAAGGCAGAACTGCTCACACACTCTCACTTCCCAAACAATCCATCTCCTTCACTGGGATACATTAACCCTCTCCATCTGGGCTGCCCAGGAGAGCCAGGTGTCACTGTCATGTTTTCTGAAAAATCCCTTCACCAGGATTTATTCTCCTGGGAAGCTGAAAAGGCTCAGAAAAGAATGAAAACAATAATTATCTGATTGCTTTTCCCTGTTTTGCTGCTTTGGAATGTGGTCTGGAGATTGTTTACAGGTGGGTGTTTGATTGGTTTCATGTGAATTGTTTTAATTTAATGACCAATCAGCTGTGTTGGCCTCTGAGGAGTCAGTCACGAGTTTTTCATTATCATTCTTGTTAAACCTTCTGATGTATCCTCTCTCTTTCTTTAGTATAGTTTTAGTATAGCAGAATAGAATAGAATAGAATAGAATAGAATAGAATAGAATAGAATAGAATAGAATAGAATAGAATAGAATAGAATAGAATAGAATAGCAGCTTTCTGAGAATATGGAGTCAGATTCCTCATCTCTCACCTCGTCCTGGGGACCCAGCAAACTCAGCAGCCAGGGTGGGTGGAGCAGCTCTGCCTGCTCACAGCTCCCTGTGAGAACCCCACAGGAGCATCCCTGCACCCAGGCCAGGCAGGGATGCTCTGATGCTCCCTGGGTTGACAAGAAATGTGAGTGAGATACTGGTGCCCTCTCCTGGAGCATGGCTGGGATAACTGGAACTATCCATGGCCAAGGCAGAGGCAAAAATAAATAAATAAATAAATAAATAAATCATATACAGCAAAAGTTTTATAAAGAATATCCTTGGTTTAAATATGTTTTAATTCTATTTTGCCATTAATTTTTGCTGGTGTTAATGGATTAATGGTGTCTTTATTCACTAGAGCTCCTGCTTGACCAGACAGGATGTCTGTTCATTAAAAGCTGTTGTTAATCAGTGGGCACTGTCTTGTAGATTTGCACTTTGAAATACCACCAGGACTGGCAGTGAGTTTTGTGAATGCATGTTTGCTGTTTCACTTTTTGGTCCCCATTCTGGAGCAATGCAGAAGGGAAGGATCCTGCCCATCCTGGGCAATAAATGAAGTGTAACCTGCAGGCCCTGACTCTCCAGTCCTGGTGATTCTCCATCCCAGTGCAAGGAAGAAACCTCACTGCATTTACAACCATGGCTTCTCCTTTAACCAGGAAACTGGAATGCTGAGCCCACCACAGAATAAGCCCTCCTCCCTGTCTCTGCCAAAACACTGAGGAGATCAGACAGTCCTGAGAACAGCCAGTTTTAAAATTAATTGAACCTGATGGAGCTATTTCACCACCTTCAAGAGCTGAGAAGCAATATGACAGTCAGAGAAAAATCAATAGCTGAATACCCACAGAAAGGACAGTTACCAGCCAGAACCAGGAGTGGAACACATTTTTCTAAAGAGTTTTCCAAGTTAGTTCCACTCCAGACCCAAGCATGGCACCTAGGCCACTACAAAAGCATTCCTGGTGATGGAAACCAACCACCTTCATTCATCCCCATCAGCTCAGAACACACCAGCAAGGGAAACTTGTGGGGACACAGATTCAGCCTCACAGTCTGGATGTTCCCCCCAGCAGGCCCTGGCAGTGGGAATTCATTTTTGCTTTGATGAGGGTTTATTTTCCTGGTCAGACCATAGAGCTGGAGCATCACCCAAGTGCCAAATACCTGGGCAAAGCTGCAGAGCCCATTTACTGCTCACAAGGCCCTGACTAAGGAGTCTGAGCTGCCTTTAAGGTCCTGTCCTGCCTTGCTTTGCATGGAAAGATTATTAGGAACAGAATCATGGAATGGTTTGGGTGGGAAAGGACCTTAAAGCCCATCCAGTGCCACCCTGTGCCATGGGCAGGGGCACCTCCCACTGTCCCAGGCTGCTCCAAGCCCTGTCCAGCCTGGCCTTGGGTATTGCCAGGGATGCAGGGGCAGCCCCAGCTGCGCTGGGCACCCTGTGCCAGGGCCTGCCCACCCTCACAGGGAGGAATTTATCCCTGGTGTCCCATCTCCCACCATGTGTGGCCCCTGCAGACAGACTCTGGAGTGCTGGTAGGTCTAAGTGTGCAAATATTCACAGTAAACTGGGGAGAGAAACAAAACTATTAATAAATATGAGGTAATTTTGGTTTTGTGCCTGAAATGATGACATACTCTGAGGTTCAGCTTAACATGTCTGAAATCAAGTGCTCTGATTTTAAGACTTAGACTGCAAACACAGATGTTCTTAATGAAGGAGCTGTCATTTAACTTGCTTTATACAAACTTCTTGCACATTTTCCCAGCTAAAATCTTCCCTCTGCCCAATTCAGATCAGGCCTTACCCCAGACATCTCACTGCTCTGCACCGTGCTCAAACTTTGGGTTAAAAAAATATGTTTTCTTCTATTCAATCTGCTCCACTGTGTATAAATATACCAAAAGGAGGACTGGCATCCAAAGTCACCACCACTGATTCACTGCCCAAACAGCAAAACAAAAAACAGCTCTGGGTTGCTCTGAAATTAAATCCTCTCTCATTTTTCACAGCTGACTTAAATTAAAAAGAAAAAAAAATTTATAACACTGTCACAGCTACAAGAATAAAGGTATTTCCCAACTACAAACCATTTAGGGTTGAGATAGAGTGAGAGGCAAAGGAAATGGGGTGCAGGGAGGCAAAGGAAACCCAAACCAGTGACAGCTCTGACAAAACTTACTTGTCCAAGGCCACAGCCTGCTCATAGGAACATTTGGCATTCTCAATGTCTTCAAGGTTGGTCAGAGCAACTGCACCAAAGCAAAACATACACACAGGAGGAGATGTTTCACAAGCAGCTGGTTTTTAGGACAATTGTGAATGTCATAAAATGGGTGTCACAGCAGGGTTGTCAGGACTGCTGCCAGGATTAGCCCTACTGGATGGGTTGGAAGGGACCTTAAAGCTCATCCAGTCTCAACCCTGCTATGGACAGGGACACCTCTCACTAGCCCAGGTTGTTTCAAGTCCTGCCCAACCTGTCTTGGACACTTCCAGGGATCCAGGGGCAGCCCCAGGTGCCCTGGGCACCCTGTGCCAGGGAAGGATTTCTTCCCAATATCCCATCTAACCACACAATGTCACTTCTGACATGTTTATCTCATTTCATCCCAAGAATATACAGTGCTGGAAACCCACACCCACTCCTCAGGCATCCCAACCCCAGTCTCACATGTGTCAAGTCTTTTCCAATGTTTAATCTGGATCTGACTGCACTTTTCCCTTCTATTTCCCCAGAGAGAAGAGACTGGGCATCAGCTCCTCAGTAAAGCCTTTATGGCATGTTTCTTTACTTCACCCCACACCTCCTGTCTGTGCTGTGGTGTTCCCAAGAGGGATGCACAGGGAGCATCCCATACCTGCCAGGAGCATGTAGAGCTCTGCCATCTTGGGCTGGAAGTTGATGGCAGCACTGAGGAAGTGGAAGGCTGAGGCATATTGCTGCATTGTGAGGTGCACCAAGCCCAGGTTGTACAGGATCTTCCAGTCAAAGGGAGCCAGGTAGTTTGCCCTCTTCAGGCAGCTGACAGCCTTGGGAAAAAAGGGATAAATGTGCTAGAACAGCCCCCACATTCCCAGGTTTCTGTGGTTGAGATGACAACAAGGTATTAGAAAGTCTTTTTTTCCCAGCCCTGTGACCAAAGAAGTCAAGATTTGTCTGTTCTGCTTTTCACGGTTGTTTATTTTCTCTGAGAAAGAAAGAATCTGCTGAGATCTGTCCAGCAGGTCAGGTTGTGGCAGGGCAGGTTGTGACACAGGTGTGGTACTAAGTACAGGTAGTTCTTAGTATAAAAGGTTAACACAGGTGGTGTTAACTTTTTATACTAAGAATTACCTGTACTTTATTTACAATAATTTTCCAATACCCATCACCTATGTTAGACAGTCTGTCTTTATTAAACCGATCCAAAAGTGTCACCATCCCAGCAGAAGATGGAGGACAAGAAGAAGGACAGGACATGCCCAGATTCCTCCATCTTGCTTCTTGAACCTTTTTCACCCTGTGACAAATTTTCCTTTTTCACCCTGTGACAAATTCACTATCATTCTACTCAAACTCTTGTGGCTTGTAAATCCTCACACAAAGTTGGTAATTGTTTCCATGGGCTAAAATCCAAGGCACAGGTGTGTTTGACTCTGTGCCAAGGTCTCTGAGCCCCTGACAGGGTCTGGGATCACCCAGGGCAGCCAGAGCGATGTCCTGGGTCCCCACACCACATGACAGGAATCTTGTGCTTGCATGAAACTGGATGCAGATGGGAGTGAAAATGGGAACTGGATACTTACTGCCACGTATTTCTTCTTGCCAAAGAAGCACATGCCAATGTTGTTCCAGAGTGGGGGGCTCTCAGGAACACTGCTGGCCACCACCTTGTACTTGGAGAGGGCGACATCGAAATCCCCGTGGGCCTGCATCATGCTGCCAGCAGCCAGGGTGGCCTGGGGACAACACAACAGTGACCCACTCACAGCCCCATCTGCTCACACACAGCAAGAACAGGAGAGGACAAAATGATTAAACTAAAACCATCCCAGCAACAACCATTTCACTTCTAAGGACTGCCAAGATCCACAGTGGGAGCAGATGGGGATTCTGGAATCTCCCACCGAAGGGAAGAACACAGGGTGAGGAACAAACCTGAGGCTGCTTCTCCCTGCACTGTTTGAATCATAACTGTCTCAGAAATGAGTCTGCCCAGAGGAGCTGTGGCTGCTCCATCCCTGAAGTGTCCAGGCCATGCTGATGGAGCACCCTGGGACAGCGGGAGGTGTCCCAGCCCATGGCAGGGGTGGAACACGATGGGCTTATTTAAGGTCCCTTTCAAATCAAAGCATTCTGTGAGTCTGTGATTCCATTAGTACTGCAACATGACACTACAAATGTTTAGGGTATTTTTTGGGCTGACAGAAATACTCCTTAGAGTCTGAGGCTCTGAAAAGATCTGTGCACTAATAGATTCCTTTTACAACCAAGCACAGATAGAAATAGTTCTTGTGCAAGTTAAGTGGAGAGTGAAATGTACTCAAGCAAGACATGCAGCAAAGCTCTCCTAATTCACAGTGACTGGCTGATACTGCAAATTAATGGGAATATGCATGGGGAAAAAAAAGGAAGTGAGTACAACACACTATATTTAAACCACACTAGTTAAGTCCTTTTTAAGATTTCACAGTGACAAGTAAAATTCCTAAGTGTAAAGGTGTTTTCACAACAACTCATGTTTGTCAACCACACATTTCAATGCTCTGCATCGCCAACAGGGAAAAAAAGGAGAGAAATTAGGTAACAGCCCTAAAAAGGGAAGCAGCTCCACAATGAGGAATGGAACTCAGACACCAAGCTCAGCTCTCCAGACCACAGCCAAGGAAATACCCAGAGCAGCTGGAAGCACAGGCTATCAGCAGATGGGAGAATAATAAAATGCAATATCACAAGGGACCTGGCACAGCTCTTCAGGGATTTTTAAAATCCAGAAGATCTTCCTTCCAAAGTAAATTCCACCTGGCTTTGGTGCAACTTCAGATTAAAAACCAAAGGGATCAATTTAATATCCCATATTCTGCCTCCTTCCCTTTCCCTATCTCCACACACACCCAACTCCCTACCAGGGAAACATCCCAGAAATGGATTTCACAGAAAGCTCTCTGGGCAGGATCCTTTCAGCCTCTCCAGGCCCCAGATGCAGATGGCAGAGCTCTGACAGTGGAATTGGCTTTAGGAGGTGTCCCCTCATGGCTCAGCTGGGTCATGTCCACTCCTCACCATACCTTGTAGTTGCCTGGGTCGTAGGTAAGCACATTTCCAAGGTGTTCAAAAGCCTTCTGGTACTCCCCAGCCTGGGAAAAGAAGTACATAAGCATCAGAAATTCAGGAATAAGAGGAGTTAAGAAGGAGAATACAGGGTTTGTGGGCACCAGAATTTCTAGTTCAGTCAGAAAAGTGAGTTTTACAGTGCTCCCATTACACACACATGTTCCTGTTTGATAATTCACAGAACAGATTGTAAGAATTTCACTTGGCTGGATTCACTGTTCTGACCCAACCACAAATGAGCTCTGGGTTCACAGGTCTGTGCTCCTTTCTCTGTCCCAGAACACAGGCTACAAACTGTACTCTGCACATCCCCAATTCCCTCACCACAAACTCCTCACTGCCCAGGGCTCTCCTGCTCAGGGCACTTCCCTTCCCTTCCCTTGTCTTCTCATGGCCTGAAGGTGTTACAGGGCACCACTGTGGCATATATGAGCATGTGAGAGCTTGGAAACACTTAAATCCTATAGATTGGAACCAGATAAGCTCTAAGGTCCTTCCAAGCCATCCTGTGATTCTGTGGTTTCAACTGAATTCACCTAAAGCTCATCTCATTCTCTGCCATGGCAGGGACACCTTCCACTGTCCCAGGCTGCTCCAAGCCCTGTCCAACCTCATCCTTGAACACTGCCAGGGATGCAGGGGCAGCCACAGCTGCTCTGGGCACCCTGTGCCAGGGCCTACCCACCCTCACAGGGAGGAATTTCTCCCTAATATCCCATCCATCCCTGCCCCATGGCAGTGGGAGCCATTCCCTGTGTGCTGTCCCTCCATGCCTTGTCCCCAGTCCCTCCCCAGCTCTCCTGGAGCCCCTTCAGGCCCTGCCAGGGGCTCTGAGCTCTCCTGGAGCCTTCTCTTGTCCAGGTGAGCACCCCCAGCTCTCCCAGGCTGACTCCAGAGCACCCTCAGAGCAGCTTGGGGGCCTCCTCCTCCTCTCAGGCACTACTGCCTATTCTCCTTTGCTTGTTCACTCTTTGGGAAGCAGCTTCTGGAATAATCCAACCCTTCCCATCCATTGCACAGACACAAGGATAAGCACACCTTTGTTATTTAAATTGATTCTGATTTTCCTTTATGGTGCATTAACACTCACAATTTCATGGCTGCTTTTTCAGGATAACTCCTGCTGCAGCAGCAAGGTAATGACTAGTCATGTTTTGTTATACTTGGAGGATTTATAACAGAGTTAGGGCTGTTGCCAAACAGAATTCCTGCTCTGGCTCTGCTCCAGGGAATCAGCTTGCTTTTAGCAGCAAAGACAAGATACAGAAAAGCAAGTTCTGTCCTGTTAAATTCAGTCTGTAGAGAAGCATGTGCAAGCAATGGGAAGGTGGACAGAAATTACCTCTATAAAAAATCCAACAGGGTTATACTGAAAATAATTAAGTTTTTGTAACAGTAACAGCATTCAGTACCTGCAGGTACAGCAGGCCCAGGGCTGTGAGGAGATCTGTGTTTTCTGGAGAAAACCTGGAATATAAAAGCCTGAGTTTGTTTTTCAGCCCTTCTAGAACAGGGTAAAAAATAGAATACGGAATTCTGATGCTACATTATTGTTGTATCAATCCAGGAAATTAAATTCTAATTACTAAAAACAAATATTAGAACTGCCATCATGGGGACTTCCTTTGAATAACATCACACCTCAGCTACCCAAATACCTTCTGGGGATTGGTGGGAAGGCACAAGGCTCTGTGAAATACATCTGGACACATAATAAGATAATGTGGTTTTGTTAAGCTTCAAAGTGAGTCTGAATCAGTGACCTGGAAATACAAAATGAGATTTTCCATTGTCTCTCATAAACCACCCTGTAAATCCATCCATCCTAAGCCTCTTGGGCCATGTAGGGCAGGCAATCCTCAGCATTCCTGATGGATTCTACACACTCCTCATCAGAATTTTAATTCACCTTATAAAAAGATTACAAATAAATAGGATGGAAACCACAACAAAAAAGGACAAAGCTGAGAAAGAGACACAATTTGTGGTCTCACTCACCCCAAAAGGAGTCAGTTTTTAATTCCCTGCTAGCAAGACTTAAAAATATCTGATCTGCACACTCACACTGGCACCTCTAAACTGCAACCACAACAAAACCACCTGTGCCTGGTGGAATACAGACAAGGAATAACAGACTGTCCTGGAGCTGGAAACAGCAAGAAAAATGCCATAGGCAGATGAGAACAAAAAAACCCCAGGAATAAACAGGAATGAAGAAGAAAGGAGGGCAGGGGAGCACCAGGATAAGAATATAAACCTGGTAAGATGCTTAGCAAGGATTATTTACGTAATAAACATTCTAGATTAGTCCAAAAGCCTGCCCAGCCCCACCTACCCTCAGGCAGCAGTGAGGGCAGACATGTAAGGAAACACTGCATCAACACCCCCTGCCTCCCAACACACTCCTGATTTTCTTTCTAGAGCTGGCCTCCATGGCAAAGCTGCCTTTGAAAGCACTGGAAAGGCTTGGGAATGCCCTAAAACAGGGATAGGTGGGCACTGAGGAGCAGTGATGGGGTGGGAGAAGCTCCCTGTGCCCAGCTCATCTCCCTCAGCCACAAACTGCTCTGAGGGAAAGCAGCAAGTGACCCCAGGCAGGGATTTTGGGGGGGCAGTCAGGGTTACATTGTTTTGGGAGATAAACCTTTGGCATGGATGAAGTCAGTTTTGGATCACTTTGCTCCCAGGCATCTCCATGCATTTGTTATTCCAATTTTTTCTGGCAGCCCTTCCAACAGCTCCCTTGTTCCCTGCCACACTGTCAGCAGGAGCAGAGACAGCTGAAGTGCTTGGAAGTGCCAGCTTTGCTCAGAGCCCCTGTAATTACCATTAGCTTTTTAATCATGGCCTCAATTCAGATCTGGGACACCAATCAATTTTCTCCTGCCATAGGATGGGAATGGGCAGATGGAAAAAAACCGAGTATTTCTTACTCTACAGCTTTCTTATATACTTCAATGGCTTTATCCATCTCCCCCTCCAAGAGGTGAATTTTGCCCAGCATCATGTAGGTCAGGTCGTGTCTGTTGAGCTCCAGGGCATGGTTGAGCTGGTCTCGTGCCTAAAAACACAACCACAGAGAAGAAAAAAAATAATAAATTATTCCAGAACCCTCAGCAAAGCAACAGCTCATGAGTAATCCCCAACAGCCAGGGAAGGAGAACAGCCAACAAACATCCCCTGCACCTGGAGAACACAAACCCCAGCCCAGCTAATCCTTGGAACAAGCCCTGCACCAGCAGCCACCTGCTGTTAGGGGCAGTAGAAGGCAACACCTTCAAGCCAAGCAGGAGGCATTTGCCTCCCAAGGAGGAGATGAGCACAGGCCTGCTCCTGGATTTGAGTTTGTTCGGCCTGAGGGACGCTCTGGATTTGCTGGCTGAACTGATACTCTGCAGCTTATTCTTCCTTAAAATGCTTATTCCAGCAGTGGGGAAGTGAAAATCTCAGGGGAGGTGTGAGCAGGTCTCAGTTTGGAAAGTGTTGGTGCAGACAACAATTCCCAAGTGTGAACCCACACTGCAGAGGCTGCTTTTGCACAGGGATCCCTCAAACAGGGAGCACAGCTGGGCTTTGCTGCAAGGGCCACAGCACCCACCAGCAACAGCAGCAGAGAGGGGCTGGGCTAAATTTGGAACAAAAAGGGTCTAAATGCTGTTTTTCCCTTAGAGTAGCTGGATCAGAGACAGCTCAGTGCTCACCACCAGCACTCAGGGGATGGTTAAGTGAGGAACTGGGACTGGCACACTCAGACCTGGGAATAAAACTGCATTTCAGCCTCCAAAACTCCTGTACTAACTGCAGGTGTAGTTCAAAAGGAGCTTCAGACACAGGAGCAAAACCTTCTCTTGGAGGAAAAAAGGATCTGCTGCACCCCCAGCAAACAACCCCATAACTCCTTCCCTCTGAGTCCTGCCAGACCCAGGGAGCTGAGGTTTCCTGCAGGAAAATGAGATGCATCAGTCTGAGCTGGGGAAATGGTTTGGGGTTTTACCATCACCCTTCTCTTGCTTCAAGAGGATGGAGCTGGATTGCTGCTCCTACAAAGCCAGCAGTGTTCCTGGGTCTGCCTTTAAAGGACTCAGACACAGAAGCAGCTCTTATTGGAGCACAGCCCATTTTCTGTCTAGTTTGAGGTTTCTCAAACATTCCCTTTAAAACCAAAAATGTTCTCTGAAAAATCTTAGATTTCAAAAAAAGCCTCTGGCCCTCTGGCCCTGCCACAGGGTGATCTCCCTTTACACAACCTCAATGACTTGCAGCTGACTCAAAGAAATTCAACACACAAATGGGAACAGAGACAGCTCACAAACCTTTGCTCCCAAAAACAAAACACTGAGGCAAAAAACTTTCTTGAAGCCTCTTGCTGCAAATGATCCATTTCAAGCTATCAAAGAGAGTGAAATTTTTGGGATGCTTCCTTGCTTCCCACTGACATTACCTTGTTGAAGTGTTTCAGGTACATGTAGCACACACCCAGGTTGTGGCTGATCTCCTGCATGAAAAAAAGCCAAATCAGCACAAGGACTGAAATAAAATCTGACAGCTCTGACCCAGAGGAGGAGAGCCCTGACTGCCCACACCTTTCTTGCTTTTTAGAGCAAGTAAACCTACAAATTCCAGTTATTTCAGGCACCCACAGAGCTTAAGTGGGGTTGTACACAAAACATTACAGTCCACTGAGACAAAAACCACAGAAATGACAAAGCTCTTTTGAGACATCAGACATTTTGTTTTCAGAGAACGAGGAGCACAGACTGGTTTCTTCATTGTGGTGTCACCCTGTAAAACTTGCTGCCCTCATGGGTGACTCAGTTTGGCTGTACCTCAGTAGGATATGCACAGTGTCCAACCCAGCTGGACAAAACTGGAAGATGTGCCTCATTTTCCAAAACACAACTTGAGCACTGGAATACCTGATATCCCTCAGGTATCCTAAACAATTTTGCACAGGGTAGGGAGATCCCTCAGAGATCTGAAACACTCTGGTGACACTGTAGGGAGCATCCCTGCTCTTAACTCCTCACCCACAGTTTAACACACAAGGCACCTTCCCAATTTGAGAAAAGCAAAGTTCTCCCAATTTTTTATTTTATTCTGGTGAGCATTTAACTGATTCATCAGCTTAGACAGCCTTGACCTTTAGAAACTCTCTGACTTCCCCATCAACCTGTTTTCCTCCATGCAGCCTCTCCAGCTGTGCAGAACTGAATCAGTGACTCCAGGCTGCTGCAGATTGCAGAATGAGGGAAGAGCAGAGTCTGATTCTGCTTCCAGTGCTGAGCCAGGAATGGGGAATAACTAATCAAAATACCCACTGGCATCTGCCTGCTGGGTTGTAAATAGGGTTACAAGCATGCCAAGCACTGGAAATGCAGGTGGAAGAAAGACTTGTGATACAAAAGGTTTCTGAGTTGTCTGGCACAGGGGAATTTGAATAACACCAAAGCTATCCTTGTATCCTGAATTTTGGATGTACTGACAAACAAAGGAATGAGCTCATACATTGCAAGCCTACTTTAGAAACACTTCTGCAGGCAAAACAGGCACCTGCAGAAGCTGCAAGACATGGCCTCTCCCTCACCCTCTGTCACACCTTTCCCTTTGCAATGCTCTTCCTCTCTTTTTGTCTTTTTATACAGAAGAGCTCATTTAATTACTGCTCCTGTATTCTCAACGATGTTTTGCATTACAAAAGCTTTCCCAATTACTCAAGCAAGTTTTAATACCTGAGGTTTCCAAACTCTCCCCATATTTCCCTTAAAGCACAGATGTGGTTATGTTAAAATTGATCCCTGGCCAAGTTCCAACACACTGCTCAATTCTCTGTGCCCCAAGCCAGGGATTTGCCCCAAGGCATGGGATTTGGTTCCTGTGATCCAAACCAAGCTCAGACCACAGGCAGTGTGAGCTCACCATGGTTTGGGACAAGTTTGCAGCTATTACAAAGATTTGCAACCCCCTGAACACTCACCCAGTCCTTCTCATCGAGTTTTGCTGCTTCATTGTACACTTCAATGGCTGCCTTATGCTTCCCCAGGAGAAACCTGCAAAAGGATTGCAATTCTTATGTCTTTCCTGTTTTCAGACCCTGCTGTGCAGCCACTATCACCTTTGCCAGTGAGAAATTATCCTATTTGCTGTATCTCCAGAAATCTCCAGGAGAAGTTTACAATCTCAGCACTGCTCCCTCTGGGGACCAAGGTCATCCATCCTGACACTAGTGGGGATGTAAGGAATGAATGCCCAGGCTCTGCAACCTGCTTTTGTCTCCAAAGAAAGAGACAGGTGCCCTGACACAACCTTCAGCAACAGAAAAGGATCTGTAGGGCAAGTCTGCCCAGCTCAGGTCAGCACCTGCAGCTCTGGACCTTGAAATCAGGATCACCTTTCTGCCTGAAGCCCAGAGAAAGAGAAAACACAAGAGCAGCCAGGCAGATAACAGAGATTCTGCTTAAAGAACAGCCCACGCTTCTGGAAGCCCAGCCAAGTGTTGATAAGGAGGAAACATGTCTGGAATTAAGCAGCCTAAGAGAAAAACAAAGCATGGAAGGTCCTGGGTGGCACAGCCAAGAGAAACAACAAATAAAACCCCACTCACAGGGATCGTGCCACCTGCTTGAGGTTGTCAGCGCTTCGAGGGTTCAGAATGGAACATGTCTGGAAAAGTTCAAGAGATTCTTGAATTCTCCCCTCCAAGCGAAATATCAAAGCTGTAAAACAACATAGAGCAGGCAAATGAATCCATTCTCAGCAGGAAAAACTTGCCTCTGACAGCAGGGAAAGAAGGGGGAGCACACATCTATCACATCAGTGCTCCTCTGGTGTTTGTCCCTCCTGCAGCACCCACAGTTTTGTGTCTGAGGGCAGGACTCTGTGCCTGGGGAAATTCAGACACAAAAGCTTTAAGCTTTAAATCATGGGGAATTGCTTGTACAGATGCAATCTGGATTTCTCCCCTTCCCAGCCTCTCCAGGATGCAGCATGTCCCTGCCAGCAAATCTCACTGTCCCCAACCATGGCATTTGGAATTGCAATGTCACATTTTGGGAGACATTTTTTAGGGGCCAGAGGGCAGGGCAGGAAGAGGAATGCCACCCTTAGAGCAAGGAGTGAGACAATGATCACCTGGGGTGGGTCACAAACAGAAAACATGCCTCTGTAACAGGATCAAACACACAGCAACACACTGAAGGCCAGGAACCTTTGGGAACCATAACCCAAAGAAGAACTGATGACAAATACAGAGAAAACAGGACATTTAATCTGCCCATTTCATGTGAAAATCCCTAATTTCAATACTAAATGGAGCAAGCAGAGGGGAAAAATTGTATTTTTTCCTTATGTTCTATGGGAACACAGGGTGGGGAAATTTCATTGATGAGGGAAGTTCTATGTTTCCCTCACCTACCCCCTGCATTGTTCTCTGTATCTCAAATCAGGGGTGACCTGCTTTAGCAAAAAGATTTTCATACATACCTTGGACATAGACAGCATATTCACAGAGCCCTTGGGACTCCTGGAGCTGCTCTTTGATGACAGCCTGGAAGGACAAAATTGTAAGCTCACATCATTTTACAAAGTTGATTCCAGAGATTTGGTTCCAGCCACAAAAACCACAACCCCACGTCTAACAAGGGCACTGGACCTCGACTGGGACAACCACACAGTGCACACAACAGAGCTCTGTGCCAGGAACACTGTAGCCCTTTCAGTATTGCTCTGTTCAGTCCTATTCCCAAAGATAATTAGGTACTACCTGGGGGAAACACCAGGAGGCAACTCTGAAAGCATCCTCTGCTGATAAGGGTATCTACTCCAGGCCCTTTGTGAAGAAATAAATTGAACTGGAGCAACTGCAGCTGAGTGAATGAAAGCCAAAAGAACAAATGAGGAGTGAACAGGGAAAAAAAACTCATGAAAATGTAAATTCTTGCTGGCTTCATCCACACAGCTCCCAGTTTGGGGTGGGGTGGCTGCAGTCTGGATATATTCCACAGTCACATCCTTTGGAATCAAGAGCATAATTTCTGCTCTGAGACTCCCCTTTTGTGCAGAAGTGGAAGAACACAGAGGGTAAGAGTAATTTCTGAGTGACCTGATGCTTATCTGGCATTTCAGATGTGTATGGCCAGCACCAGCCTCTGAGAGGAACAGAAGTGAAGGACCTGAAAATTGAACCTCAAATACAGCACATGGGAGGAAAGCTGTTACTGAGAAAGTTATTCTTGAGAAGATACTAATTGAGAAGTTACCATTGAGAAGAAGGAAAGTTCTTATTGAAGGAAAAGGAAGAACAGGCCTGAGCTGCTCTTCCCTCACCTGTATCTAATAATTTATTTATGTAACTCTTTACAAAGTGCATGGTTATAAAACATTTTACTCAGAAATAACCAACATCTCCTCAATTCACATACTCTGGATTGCTCCATCTACATAAACCTGGATTCTCAGAGCAAGAGAGGGCAATAGAGAGCTATCTTTTAGAGAAATCTGATTAATTCTATAAACCCTAAAAAGTCACACAGCAGAAGGCCCTCAGCTGAGGAATATGATCTCAAATCCCAGATTTCTTCCCCCAAGTTTATTTAAGGTGCTGATGACGGAATTTAGACACAACTGGCAGGGGACCAAGCAGTCTCTGTGCCATCCCAGGGGATGCTGCAGCTGCAGACTCCCAGGGATGTCTGCCTGGCACTTTGCTCAAGCAGCACTGAAAGGGTCAAAATCACTTTAATGCCTCCACTTTGGGGAGTTGATGTCAGTAAATAAACAGTTTTTAATGGCCCTTTAGTTCATTGAAAACTATGGGAGATTTTAAACTCTGTTAGAGAGGGAGCATTTCAAAGCACTGAGCGGGAAAGAGCAAAATTAATTAACACAACAGGTCATTTGTTTCTTACTGAGACTAAACTGATGGATTTTAACAACACCCAAACCATCCTGGAATCTTCCAGTTTTACTGCAAAAACACTGTTTTGTGAGCTCTGAGGAAAGGAAAGCTGGCCTGCCAAGCAGAAGAGTATTTATTAGCTGTCTTCTCTCGATTTTCCCCTGCTATTTCCTTGCTTCCATGACTGATGAAGACATGGAGACATCAGTGTTGCCTTTATATCATCCATTTGTTATTTTCTCTGCTTTCCTGAGCTGCACATATTTTTCTTTTCTGTACTCTGTGATTTCACATCCCATCACAGAAACAATCAACACACAGAATCACACCAAGAAACTCCAGTCAGACCACAAAAAAGGGGAAACAATTTTCTGTTCTGAGGGCTAGTCCAGCTTGTGTTTCTATCTATCAAACCAAGATCTGAGAGGAAATTACTGTAATGATACAACTGCCTGGCTCTGTTAATTAAGAGCTAAATGAAATTCCTCCAGCCTGCCCATTTCCTAAGCACCTCCAAGGTCTCTCCAGCAGAGGCAAGTCCTGACCAAACTGGTGTTTCAGAAGCCAAAAAGACTTTTCAGATCTTTGCTGCACATGCCAGAATCAGAATGGCAACTCTTGTCCCCTCCTCCTGCCCATGGGTGCATCATCTTCTTGTGCTCATTTTATCAGAAAAACACACTGTTAAATAAAAATTGCCATTTTCTTAGTCCACTTTCCATTATAATTCCAGACAACCAGTTCTAAGCTGCTCACCAAGCCCAAGATGAATTAGAGCATGCCATGGATCATGTGTAAAATGAAAGAATTTTGCTCAAGAGTAACCAGGATGTTTTTTATTTACACTTGGTAGTAATGTTTCCCTCAACTGAAGTGTTTTCATAGTGTCCCTGTAGTACCATCAAGAAACCTGCACTGTGGAACTGGGTTATTATCAGTTTGGAAAACCCTATCCATCACTGGGAACAACAGAGGTCTGCAGTTCTTTCCACTTCTCGCCTCCCAGGGACATCCTGAGCTCACAGACTGCTCCAGAGAGCTGCACCCTCAGATCCTGAAGGCAGCCAAGGATTGGAGAGCACTGAAGTCATTTTGCTCATGTTTTCTCTTGATCCCCTTATTCCACAAGAAGTCAGGAAAGAGGGTGGTTGGGAAACTGTCAAGAAAACTGTTTTGTCATGACATCAGTGAAATAATCCCCACATTCTGGAGGCAGCTCTTACCTTACACTCCTCGTAGTCTCTGCGGACATAGAGCAGATAAATCAACCAGTTCTTCCTCTCTAGGATTGGCAGTTCTGGGGCTGTACGGGGAAAATATTCACAGAACAAGGAATCAGACTGAGCAGCAGAGAATCTGGGAGAGACAGTCCCAACCACCCCAAGTGCCTGCACAAGGCAAGGAATTCAAGAACTGCAATTGCAATTAATGATTTGACTTGAAGGCTGGAGTGTGGACTTCTGAACAGGGTCTGGTTTTATTCTACTTCTCAAATTCATGCATAAAACACCTTGTTCAGGATAAACACTAAATGAAAGCTCTAAGCAGAAAACTTCCACCCACTGGAAGATGGTCTACTGGAAGGTGTCCCTGCCCACAGCACAGGGTTGGAACAGGATGGGTTTTAAGGTCCCTTCCAACTCAAACCAGTCTGGGATTCTAAAAGACTTGAAGGCATCAGCTCCTCCTGGAGCAGATCCTGGAGTAAACAGCTCCACACACACACTTTAATTCAACACTGGTTGGAGGAATTGCATCTTTTCAAATACACAAGAGGAAATGAGTTGGATTCACATTTTGAATCTAGGGCAAAAGAATCAAAGGTCTTTAAGATGAATTTCTGGGACTGAATGAGCAGGAAACAGTAGATAAACACAAAAAGAGATTGGAGAGATGGGGTCTGAAGGTGTGAATAATTTCAAAAGGTCAAACTGAGTTCATTGAATCTGTTAAGGGACTAGGAAACATCACAGGTCTGAGAGACTGAAGCTACTGCAGAAAAACATTTGATGCAGTGGAGGAGGGAGCCTTGTGCTCCAGCATTTCAATGGTGCAGAGCTGGCAGCAGTAATTATGGCAAATCACGGATGGATGTTGCTTAGCGATATCCACGTCGGGTTTACAAGTTGAACACACTGCTGTGCATTTCATTAAGGCTGAGAATGTATTGCCTGGGACTGGAGTCTCCATTCTGAGGGGTAACCATAGCAACTGGCCAAAAAGCTCCGTGTTTGCAAGTCAATATTGTGACACCAGCGAGCGCAGAGGCAAAGGCAGGCGAGGGCTGGGGCAGGGCTGGGGGGACACAGCACAGGGACACAGCCCAGGGACACAGCCCAAGGACACCTTCCCCAGCACAGGGACACAGCACACAGACACAGCACAGGGACACCTTCCCCAGCACAGGGACACCTCCTGCAGCCCTTTGGAGGGAGCAGAGGCACCCCCGGACACGCTGGCCCAGCTCCAGCAGCACAGAGCAGAAGGTGACACTGGGGAGCCCAGGGGCCCTTTGCCATCAGAGGTGAGGAAGAAGAAACCCTGCAGGGGGAAGGGCTGGTGCCAAGTGTAATTATCTTTTGGAATGGCTGAGCTTTAATTGCTTCTGGAGCACACCAGGCTCTTCCTCATAATCCACATCAAGTCCAGTTTCTCTTAGAGCTCCTAAATCCAACATCCTTTAGGGAAAACATTTTACAAAGCCATTCTCATTTTCTTGGTTTCCAGAGCACACCAGGCTCTTCCTCATAATCCACATCAAGTCCAGTTTCTCTTAGAGCTCCTAAATCCAACACCCTTTAGGTTTTGAATTTGGAAAATATTTCACAAAGCCGTTCTCATTTTCTTGGTTTCCAGAGCACACCAGGCTCTCCCCCGTAACCCACATCAACTTCAGTTTCATTTAGAGCTCCTAAATCCAACATCCTTTAGGGAAAACATTTCACAAAGCCATTCTCATTTTCTTGGTTTTTCTTTCTTAAATTCCAGAATATCCATCTAGATTTATATTAGAGCTGAGAATTAAATGTGCACACTAGCAATTTAAGGTCAAATAGCTTCTAAAGAAGGTTCAACTACCCTAAAACAAATAGAAAGCTTGCAGTCCAAACAAAAAAGTAATCTAAACACACAAAAGAGTAATCCAAACAAAAGAGTAATGCAAACAGGCTAAGCTCACAGAAATGCACAGATCAGGGATCCAGACATTCCCAAATTCTGCTCTGCTGTGGAGTATCCAGATCTTTGTAAGTAAAGCATTTTAACAAGCGTGTTCCCAGATCAGATTAATTGATTTCTGATAGCTTTATGTTTCCCATTTGTCCTTCTTAGAGTGAGAGGATGAAGGGAAGAGTCAAGAGGCTGCCTAAATAGCCACAAACTGATTGAAACTCCAATGTTTCACACCTGAAGCCCATTCAGGTGCTACCAAATTCACTGACACTCTGTAATTACTTCCCTGTGCAGGTTATTGCCAGTGCCAGGGTGTGACAGACACCCTGGGGATGCTGGAAATGCTCTGTCCCATCCCTGAAGTGTCCAAGGCCAGCCTGGATGGGGCTTGGAGCACCCTGGCCCAGTGCAAGGTGTCTGTGCCCATGGCAGGGGGTGGGATCAGATGGGTTTAAGGTCCCTTCGAACCCAAACCAGCCTGGGATTCTGTAAAAGCAGCTGGAGTCATGTGCCCTTCCTGCCTGGCATCTCCTGGTGCCACTATGTGATATAAAACACCAAACCTGACACACCTGGCCACTTCCCACCTTCTTCTGTAAGTATGGATTTAAAGACAGACACTGCAAACTCTATGTACCCATCAACATCCCACTAACTGAAGTATCCTTCACCATTTTGTGCCTATTAATACAGCCTCAAATCAGAAAATCCTGCAGCTGTCTGAAATGGGGAATAGTCAAAAGAACTCCAGACACACTCCACAGGTCTCCAACCATCTGTTCATGCCTTACTGGGAAGGTAAAAAGTGCCATTAAAGGTTAAAATATACACCAGAGTTGTGGGCTAAGATAAGATGCCAGCACACCAGAGAGGGGATGGAGGATTGCTTGTTTAATTCCTGAAGGAAAGAGCTTTTTCACACTTATGAGACAAGAAGGATGTTGTACTCCACTCCCACACCATGGAAACGCCTGCTGGGAGCAGGGATGGGAAGGAAGAAATGCTGAACATCAGACTGAGGGCTGAGCAGAACAACAGGGGAAGGGGAAAACCCAAGGAGTTGCCTAAAAGTGCTGGGATGGAAAGAAAATGGAGAAGTGAAAAGGCACTGTGAGCCCCAGGAGTGAGCACTGCTGACATCTGCAGATAAACCAGCTCTGCTTCCCCAGGGATGCACCTGTGAGCTGAGGAAAACTCTGTGATTGGGGAAACACGGGGAGATTTTATGCTCCTAAAAGTCATTTGGAAATAGCAACAATTGACTGAGGAGACACAAATCACTTTTTTTCTTCTTTCTCCCTAAGACAAGCAAATTGAAAGCAGATTAACAATTCTGATGTTTTTCAAAATCTATGACAAAATTCATGGTTAAATTTGACACAGGAACATATCTGATCCCCCCAAAAATGGCTGTGGGAAGTAAAGGATTGTTACCAGGCTCTGTGCTCTATTCAGATGCAGAAAGAATTAATGGAAATTATTTATACACCTCTCCAGAGCCTCAACCACTTAATGTGCATTCCTGCTTTCCCACAAAGCAGTGGATACCTGCTCCTGGTGCATTTATCTCCCTCAGGTTTGCTCCCTCAGCCTGCTGATAAGGGCTGTCACAGTGCAATGGGTCACTGCATTCTCCTGAAGAAAATGAAAATACAAATGCCTGTTAATTTGGGTCTCTAGCTCCAGAGAAAGGGAATAAAACACCTTCTTCAATATGTAGACCTTCAGGATTTTCTCCTGTGTCACTGCTGGATGAAGACACACCACTTTTCTTTGTCACCTCTAGCAATAATCCCAGGCACTGCACAGGTTGGAAAAGTGTGGTTTAGATCCTTCTAGCAGTGAAGAAACAAAAAGCCATTATTTGCTGTAAATCAATCTGCCCAAAGGCCAGCCCAGGAAAACACAATCATCAAAGAACTTGGTATCTACATCAAAAAGAGTTTATAACTTGCATAATTGTCTTTCAGCCTCTCTTTTGCAGGACTACAAAAGTCCTGTGCCAGGGAGTCAGCCACCAAAAATATGATTAAATGCCTTTGAAGTGTGTTTTGATTTAATTCAAAAGGGAATCCATCTGATCCCCTCGCTGGCCAGTGATTGATTGCACGAGCCACTTCCAGCAAGGTGATTTTTCTTTCTGACAATGCTCCTTTAAGGAAGCCACTGGAGCAGAAACCCTGACAGAATCACAGTAAGATCATCAGGTTTGTATCTGTGCTGCTCTATCATCACTCTTCCCTTTATTCCTCCTCTTATAGATTTTCTCAGAGGACTGGAAAAAAATAATAATGAGTTATTCCCTTTTGTGTAAACCTCCCTAGGTAATTATTTTGTGCTTGCATCTTCATATTGGGTAATTATAGCTTAGGGATGAACTATCAAACAGTGAGGTTTAGATTTAATAAAAGGGCTTTAAATTGCTGTAAAAATAAGAGGGGGAAAAAGGCCCCAGCAGCTCCTATGAGATTTCATGGGGGAAATGATTGCTAAAGCACCAGCAGGAAGAAGTGGCTCAAGAAAAAGTTTTAGTCATCTCTGAGAGAAAAAACCAGTTCAGAGTCCAGCCCTCCTTCCAATCCAGATCATTGGAAAGGGTCCAAGCCCCAGTTCACCCCTTCCAGCTCTGAACCCAACCTGAGCAAGAGCAGCAAAGGGGCAAAAGACTCAAGGAGACACAAGAAGAACTTGTTATGGCCCAAAATCCCCAATAACCTAAAGCACACATAACACACAGCACAAAGAGAGAACAGAAGAGCTTTGCAAAGGCAGTTAAATAGAAGTATTTTATTTTTTTTATTCTGCAGTAGCTTCCTGAGCCACAGCCTGGATCCATTGTGGAAGGTACCACATATGTGGGATAGGTTTTCCAACAGGATTCAGCTGTCCCTTTCCAAGTTCTAATTCAAAATTCCATGGTGCAAAACAGCATCATCCAAGAACAGAGATATTTTCAAAACTAGCAAATACCCAGGCAGTGCCTCAATTCTCTATTGTGACATTTTGATATTGAGGCAGGAAAAGCACAAAAGAACATCATAAAGTGAATCAGAATCCCAGGATGGTTTGGGTTGGAAGGACCTTAAAGATAATCAAGTCCTACTCCCCTGCCATGGGCAGAGACACCTTCCA